CAGAGCTTACAAAGGGAACACAGGCCTTCTTTTACCCACAGTCTAGTCAAACAATTTAGGTGGAAGAGCAGCAGATAGCAGTTTTCTGATTGTCCCTGTAGTATCCTCTCCATCTGGGTCTGTCACTTCAAGTTAGAACAGAGAACGGCAGGCTACTACTAACTACTCCAGAAAATATTAATAATTAACCTTCTAGTTTAGATTGTAAATAAAAAATTAAACCTGACATTATTCATCTCTGTGTCACAGAAAAAAAATCCCCCACTGCCTTCAAGTCAGAACCAACTTATGGGTGCTGTCGCACTGACCCTCCAGAAAGTTTCCAAGGCTGTAAATCATGTGGGAGGATATTGCACATCTTTCTGTCAGAGCTACTGGTGATTCAAACCACCTGAAAGCTGCAGCCTGTGGGGTAGTAGTGTAACTGCATACAGACTAGGCTGCCAGGAATTTGTTTTTACATAGGCATTTTTAAAAATAGTTAAGTTCTAACCTGTTGTCCTTGAAAAGCTCTAAGTAAATTATATTTATATATGTGTATCTTTAACGTAGGGGCTTTTACTACCAACCCAAAGGCACTCAGTTCAATTCCACCAGATGGGTAATCTCCTTCCAGATGATTTACTGCTTATGAAAACCCACTGGTGTGTCAGCTGTGAGTCATTTCCAACTTTGTACAAACAACAACAGTACGGAGCTTATAGTATCAATAAAAACAAATCAGGTGGTCTGGGCACTGGTACTCCTATGTGATTCTTAAACTATAGAAGGGGTAATGGTGGCGCAGTGAAAAGTCAGCAGTTTAGATCAATCAAGTGCTTTGCTGGAGAAAATTGTGGCCTTCTGTTTCTGTAACGTTGTTGTTGCCGTCGTTGTTATGTGCCGTTGAGGCACCTGCAATTCATAGCAACCCTCTGTACAACAGCTTTAAACCCTGCTCTATCCTGTGCTAATTTCACTGTTTCTGACACACCTACGCCGATTATCCCAGTCACTGAATCAGTCCACCTCATAGGGGGTCTTCCTCTCCTACGCTGTCTCTCCACCCTCCCAAGCATGACATCCTTCTCCAAGGACTGGTCCCTCCTTGCAACCTGTCCGAAGTATGTCAGACAAAGCTGCAGAATCCTTGCCTCCAAGGAGCAGCCTGGTTTAACCAGCTCCCGGATGAATTTATTTGTTTTCTTAGCAGTCCATGATATATTCAGTACTCTTCTCCAGCACCACAGCTCAAAGGCATCAATTCTCCGTCTGTCTTCCCTAGTCACTGTCCAGCTCTCTGACTCATAGCAAGTGATTGCAAAACCATGGCCTGTATCAGATGCACCTTAGTCTCTAGAGTGACACCATTACTCTTCAGTACTTTGGAGAGGTCCCTAAC